CAAATAAAATGTTTCTTTGTTCCTAAATTTTCTAGTATTGTTGTTGTGTGCCTTCTAGTTGTTTCCAATTTATGGCAACCCTATTGTGGGGTTTTCTTGGCAAGATTTGTTCAGAAGAGATTTGCCATTGCCTTCCTCTGGGGCTGTGAGAGTGTGACTTGCCCAGGGTTACCCAGTGGGTTTCATGGCTAAGGTGGGAAATGAATCCTGGTGTCTAGAAAACATATCCAGGGATAGCCATGTTGGCCATGTAGCAAAGTACAATGACATCCAAAATCCACAAAAACAGTGATAACTTTATGGGACCAACCTAGTGCAGAAAATACATCCTGCAAGTTTAGGAGATTCCGAAAGCCTGAACATGTACTTTTTGTATTTTGTTGGCCCAATAGAAGTATCACTGTTTTGTGGATTTTGGATGTCCTTGTCTCCAGAGTCATAGTCCGACACGCAAACTTGCCTTAGTTGTGTATTCCTTCATGGCAAGGGGTTGAACTGGATGGCCTTTGTGGTCCCTTCCAACTTTATGATTCTATGCTTCCATCATTTCTGACCTTTCCATTGGGCTGATGAATGCAAACTAACTACATTTCCAGCATTCCCAGAAAACTCAAGCATCAACAATGCAGAATGCAGTTTGACACCACTTTAACTGCCGTGGCTCCATCCTACGGACTCCTGGGATTCACACTTTGTTGTAGCACCAGAGCTCTCCAACAGAGAAGGCTAAACATCTCGCCAATCTACAAATCCCAGAATTCCACAGCATGGAGTCACGGCAATTAAAGCAGTGTCAAAGTGCATTAATTCTGCAGTGTAGATGCAGCCTTACCATGCTCTCCAACTAAATGGTGGAGCTTTTCATAGGAATCCACGTTCAGGTGTGCCGGACTGTTGACCATGGCCACCGGCGTGGCGCATCCGCTGCTTCCTCCCATTTTCTTCCCTTTGGACGCCGGGGCGAGGCTCCCTTTGCCAACAGGAGAAGGCAAGATGGACGGGTAGTTCATGTTGCTGTGGTTGGTGAACTTGATGGCGGCCGGGATGTTGGAAGACTTGCACTTCACCCCGGCCCCTTCCACGTGGCAATCCGTGTGGTAAATGCTATGGACCGACTCCGAATCGGGAGCCCCGGAGCCCCGGAGGTTGGGCGACGGAGGCGGAAGCGTCAGCTGGCTCCCGGGTTTCATGACGCTGAGTTCGAGGTCGCAGATCTCCGGGTTGGAGCGCGGCCCTTGCGGGCTGCCATTGCTCAGGTGGTAATGGTGGTGGTGGTGATGGTGATGGTGGTGGATCAGGTGATGGATGGAGGTGATGCGCTTCTTGCTCCGGCGCCCTTGCCCGTTGTGGGCCGCGCTGTTGGGGTCCACCTTTTTCCTCCGCTTGTTCTGCCAGTGGTTGTAGAGCCGCAACGTCCGCCGCTTGACTTTCCTGAAAATGTGGCAGATGTACTTGAGGAGTTCCTCGTAGCAGCTCCCCGGTTCGGAGAAGCTGGCGATTGTGCTATCGTTGGAGAGGTAGCGGGCCCGCTGCTCTTGCATCAGCTGGTTCTCCCGCTGCTTTGTTTCGGAAAACTGTGTTGCGATCACAACCAGGCACAGGTTAATCATGAAGAAAGAACCAACCTGTTGCGGGTTTGGGGTGGGGGGAAAAAGGATTAGAAAGAAAAACGCATCAGTTGCAATCTGGGAATGGGGAGAACGTATACAAGAGACTTTCATGCATCATCATCATCATCATCATCATCATCTCATTACTACTACTACTTCAGTGGACCCTCCACATTTGCTGGGGTGAAAGTAAATAAAAAAATACCATTCTTTTTACCTAAGAGAACACCTCTCTAGGAATCTGCAGGTCCTCCAGTGCAACTCTATGGTCAACATCTGCCAGAGGTTGATCATAGAATCATCCTGGAAGATCTACAGATGCCTAGAAAAGTGTTTTCTCTAGGAACTTCTAGGTTGTCCAGCACAACTCTATGGCCAACTTCTGGCAGAGTTGCGCTGGAGGCCCTATATATATATATATATATATATATATAATATTATTATTATTATTAAACATATTATTATATTAAATTCAAAAATAATCAAAGCTGCAAAAGTCAAAGCTACAATTGTGGAGGGACAACTGTATTATTATTATTATTATCATTATTATTATTATTATTATTATTTATCATCATCATTATAATTCAGCGAGCTCTTGGTGTCCACTGGGAATTGGTTCCAAGACCTCCCATTGATACCAAAATCCGTGGATGTTCAAGTCCCATTAAATACAATAGCAAAGTAAAATGGTGTCCCTAGTATAAAATGGCAAAAATCAAGGTTTGCTTTGGGGGATTTATACATTTTTTTAAACTATTTTCAATCCATGGATGGTTGAATCCATGGATAAGGTATCCGTGGACTGCTAAAAACACACACACCAATAAATGGGCCCTAGACCAAGGTGCTACAAGATCTCTCTACAAACTAAGGTTATGATTGCAATCCAGTATAATTTAGTGCAAGTCCTTTTGCAATCTTTGCAATCTTTAAAAAGCTGCAACTTTAAACACAGCTGGGCAACATTCCTTTTTGCAACTTCCAGAATCTCCTTGCCAATCCAGCCAATGTTTGTTTGGTGGGTTTCAGGACTTGTATTCTCCCAGAGTAACTTTTCTGGACCCTGCTGGAGCCAAATCAGTAGGACTTGCTTCCCAATGCCTGGCAGTCTCTTCCCCGATAGATATTATAGGGGTGTCTCCTAGCCCCCCAAAATGCATTTTCCCTGAAGGTCCTCCAATTCAGAGGTGTCCGATGGCTGACTTTAATGTATCTCAGATACGATGACCCACCCGCCATCCCCATACTTACTATTATAAGTAGTATAAAATATATAAAATTGTAAAAAGAGTGTGCATCCATGACATAATACATGATGTCAACCCATCCTTCCAGGGTTATAACCTGTAGGGGAAGAGGAGCAGAGAAAAATAAAGGTAAGGAAAAGGAAAATATCTGAGTGTTCCCATCAGGAATAGAGATAATAATAATAATAATAATAATAATAATAATAATAATAATAATAATAATAATAATAATAACAACAACAACAACAACAATTTATTTATACCCTGCTTAAATGAAGAGAATCTAGAGTTGATAAATAAATGCATGGAATCCTTGACCATAAGCTATGCTGGCTGGGGCTTTTGGAAATTGTAGTCCATAATATCAGGAGGACTAAAGATGGAGAACTAGAGCTTTAATCCACTTCTCTAAACTATAGCTCCCAAGATGCTCTGAGTTTTCATCTACACTACAGAATTAAACTGATTTTAGGCTCCATCCACACTGCACAAATAATCCATTTTGACAACACTTTACCTGTCATAGCTCAATGTTATGGAATCATGGGATTTGTAGTTTGTTGTGGCACCACAGCTCTCAGTCAGCAAAGGACAAATGTCTCCCTAAACTACAATTCACATAATTCCATAGCATTGAGCCATGGCAGTTAAAGTGGTGTCAACCTGGATTATTTCTGCAATGTGGATGCAGCCTTAATCTTCTATTTGTCTTTTCTCAGTGTACTTTGGTACCTTGCAAACAGCTCAACAAACCACATATCCCAAGATTCCTTAGGATGGAGCCATGGCAATTAAAGAGGCATGAAACCAATATAACAGTTAAGAGATACAACTGTTAACCCATAGCATCCCATTGTGATAGGAGCCTACTATTGCTTTGCAGAGGGGTGGGGTATAAATAAAATTTTATTATTATTATTACTAAGCAGACCTTAATTCATCCTTGAATTATTCTTCTGCAAAAGCCAAAGAAAGCACATCCTATTCCTGGGTTCAATAGGCTCACAGTTCAAGCGAAAACAAAACAAAGCACCAATAGTTAGAGAAGTTAGGATGTTCATGAATATTCTGTAACATCTTGGTAGCTGTGTCAATGGACTGGAAAGTCTTGTCGCTATATATACTGAAGCTGCAGTTCTTCCAGGCAATGTCTAAGAAAACTTCTTCTAATACTGCAGCCTTCACATACTTTCAAGTCTGCTCACAAAGACACCATCTGTGGCATGTCTCTGATCTCTCAAACAAGAAACCTTCCTGCAAATCCTCACTCTCTGTGACTTAATTGGATATCCCAGCCATCTCTGGATGAAGATGCAAAGCGCCTAACAGATTGGACATCCAAAGTTGGCACTGACTCCGGGAAGAGACAGACAGAGATGAACGTCAAACTTTGGCCGCCCACTTGGCCGAATGCAAGGACGAGCCGGCCAGCTTTTGTGCAGACCTAGCAGCAAAGACATTTCCTGGCTAGATGATCATTGCAATAATGAGAACTCCATTCTTTACTAACCACAGGAAAGGCCCACAGTGCCTTCAGCAACCCAGTTTGCTTCACATTGACAGCATCACTGAGGACACAACCAAAGTTGGAGGCTATATATATATATATATATAAAAGGGAGGCTGGAATTCTCTATAAGTGACATAGCTGCGTAAACATCTTGGTCATGTAGCCAAATAGTGTCTCCTAGCCCAATGATCCCAGACCTCAGATTTTGGGCAGCAGCTGCTGCAAGCGCCAGAGGTCTGTTCCCCTGTTGCTTGGAAAGCAGTGGACTGATATTTCCATCTCTTCCCATGAGCAATCGCCATTGCAAAAGGCAGAAGCAGGACCCCTGTGGAAATTTGCACTGGAGATCAATTGCACAAAGGGTGAATGGGGACATCTGTCAGTTGCGTCCCAATAGGAAGGGGAACACATCTCTGTTGCTTGCAGCAGCGGCTGCCTGGTAAACCAGAACTGGGGGACTTTCATGGTTCCTTGTCGCTGTGTGTCTTCAAGTGGTTTCCAACTTTTGGCAACCCCAAGACAAATCTATCATGGGGTTTTCTTGGCAAGATTTGTTGGGGGGGGGTTGCCATTGCCTTCCCCTGAGGCTGAGAGAGTGTGACTTGCCCAAGGTCACCCAGTGGGTTTCCATGGTTGAGCGGGGAATTCAACTCTGGTCTTCAGAGTTGTAGTCCGATGCTCAAACCACTATGCCACAATGGCTCTTGAGTCCAGTGATAGGGATCTGGATTTTATCACTGGTTGAAGTGATAATTTTGGGTAGAGGGAGCCAATTCTATCCTTGGCTGTGAGGAGATGCTGGACCTCACCAGCAAAAGGGCTGGGATGCTTCTCTGTTGGATCCCATTTGATGCATCATTGACCATCAATACAGCCAATGCAATGGTAGCAACATTTGTCAGCATCCAGCATTAAAGAACCTTTGGAGAGGTCTGGAACTACATGTTCCACAGCAAAAGAGAGAAGTGATTGCAATTTTCCAGCCTTCCTCCATGTCCAAACCATCCTGCATGGAGAAAGCCGGCATGCCTGCATGGAGAAGCCTAGCCCAGCATCCTGCCATGCTAGCCTTCTACATGCATGGATTTATCCAAAGGACCATTCTGCCATGCAGTCTCTCCATCTGAGTTTATTGTTTGGTTTCTACAAAGCTTCGGCCACAAAGCACACATGGCTCCAAATCCTTCTCCCTCCTTATTTTGCGTTTCTGTCTGTCGAACGTGCTCCGGAGTTGCGCATTAACATTGCATCGCCGTCCTCCCTGCCGCTCCTGTTAAATGTTTGAACAAGGGGGAAAGAGGCTTTAATTAAATGGCGAAACCAAGCGGTGAACTTGTGTTTTCAATCTCCTTTTAGCCGTGGAATAAAGGGAGCTGAGGACTTAATTAACATTGCGGGAAACAAGCTGTGTTAGAACTTGCAAGGAAAAATGAAGAACCACTCATTAGCACCAGCTCTCCCCAGCGCATAGGAAAACTACGTCTCTCTCCTGTTCCATGGATAGTGAAGCAGCCAGGATGATGAAAGGAACTGCTGCTGCAAATGGTCCTTCCTTGACTTTCCAGGGGATTCTGGAGGTTGTAGTCTCCAAACTTTGGCTCACCCAGAGGCAGTGGATGCTGGTAGCTCCAATTTTTTAAAAAAGTAAATAGTCCAATGAATAAGAAATGAGTCACCTGGAATTTTCCCCCCAAGCAACCCCTCCACTTGCAAGGGATTTCCCCCCAGCATCCTTCCTTGGCCTGCTCTTTAAGAAAGCCACACGTTTTGGGTTTCTGCCACGATTTCCTTTCCATCGATGCCTCTGCCTCATTCCTTCCTTAGATGGGGTCTTGGGGAGGCCGGTGTTGGAACAGCTGCCGAAACAGGTGCTTGCTCCTTTCGTGATCGGAGATGAAAAATGAGCTGTGGGACCCATACGCATATGGGACGCTCCTCTCTCCTCTGAACATTTGCTCAGCAAAAGGCAGCATTCGAAAGAAACACCAAGAAAGCAAGTGATTGGTGATTAGCAACAGGATGAAAGGAGGACCTGCTTTCTCTGAAAAATATACTGCTCTATTTGGGAGTTAGGGATGTACTGGAGTGCGCTCCTTTGGGGATTCTCCAGCTTACCTCTCATCTATCTATCTATCTATCTATCTATCTATCTATCTATCTATCTATCTATCTATCTATCTATCTACAAATCTGAAAGGTACACAACAGCAAATCAGTCCTATCCATCCATCCATCCATCCATCCATCCATCCATCCATCCATCCATCCATCCATCCATCTATCTATCTATCTATCTATCTATCTATCTATCTATCTATCTATCCATCCTCTCTCTTATCTGTCTGTCTGTCTGTCTCTCATCTCTCTCATCTCTCTATCTCTCTATCTATCATCTCTCTATC